CGAGCAAAAACAAAAATCACGATAACCTGACCCACGCACTGTCGGGATCATACAGCGCATTTATAAAAGTCGCTGTAGTCAAAACATCTGTGACAGAACTRGCAAATAAGGTCTGGACTTACCAACTACAATTTCATCTTCATCATYCTCCGCTCTCTCTGGGTCAGACTCTGGCTCAAACATCTTTTAACTGAATTCTAAATAAAATGTTTCTGCGAGCTAGAAAATGCTAACCCCCTCTCTGAATCCCGAGTGAACCGTTCTGGAAGACGGAAGGGGCGGAGCTTGAAGCGCTTTAAAGAAACAGTAACAMAACTGGCTGCTTGGAGGCAYATCAGAAAAKAGGTGAATAAGGRGCTGGYAAAGTAGRAAAAGGAGAAATTCAGACCAAAGCATTGTAGTTCCACTTTATAAAACCCCAACAGAATGATTTAATTGTTAAAAGGAAGGATTTAACAGCATGATAGGTCCACTTTAAAACTCTTGAGTGATGAAATATGCGTAACTGTACAAATATCTCCCGCTGACACTCTGTGTTGTACGTTGACATCAGAACTCTACGTCCATGTCTTCTTTCCAACAACAAAACAACTCCCCATCAAACAACACAAGCGTCTTTTCAAACTTCTGATACATCATCAAGCATCTATCCTGCTGTCACCGTTGTTGTTTAAATGTGCTACATCGGGAGTGCTGTGGAAGAGTTCATAATGGTTTATTCCCTGCGTCTTCTACGCGTGAACACGCAGTGAGAAAACTAAGTCCGAAATGATGTAATGGCTGATCCACTGTCTCACATCTTGTGGAAGTATAAAGCAGCAGTTAGCTGTAGATGTTCATTCAATKATTATTTTCAAGCAGTTTAATCAGAATCGGCCCTGTGGTTCAGGAGATTATTTGCTGACACATCAGAAAAACATACACGAACACACATAGAAAACAAAATATCACCTGCCTCTCAAAAGGCAAAAGGAAGGCAATCATCAGGATATGTATAGGTCATCCTGCCTTTTTCCTTCATCATACAACATAAACCAAACATCCGAAGTGAATCTTTGACTTTAGACAAGTACAAATACTTTGACACTTTTTGTGCCAGTTGTTTGATTGTATACTGAATTTGGAGATTTACCTCAAGCAAGAAACATTCAAGAGCTGGACTCAGAGCTTCCTGTAAGTTTTTCAAGTGGACATTTTTAACTTTTTGTAATTACATTTAGATGATAAAATAAGCTGAATGCTGTGTTATATATACTAGCCTAATGCCAGAAAAGAGGTGTAACTCAAAGAGCCAAACCCCCCATTTGATTTTAAAGTCTAAATAAACTTTGCATCTCTCCATTCCAAACCATACAGGTATTTTTGGAACCAGTCTTTTGTCTCRTCTGTGTTTCTAAAAAAGTAGAAACAAATCTAACAGTAAGCTAAAATGTTTTCTGACATTTTAGTTATGTGTGCATTTCACAGGCATCTCTGACACTGTAGGAAAGGCCTGTGACTCATTTCCAGCAGTTATAATTTCAGATTTCAACAYTGACAGATGACTGTTGTTCTTAAAGTTGACATCAGAAGTGAAGTGAAAAGGTGGGTGGATAAGTTTTCATGGGTACGACAAACTGTAAAGTACAAGTTGTTATAAAGGCAGGTGTGTGTGTGTTTTCCCTCTTCTGTTTGTTAGTTTAGGAAACGCCCTCTGCTTAAGGAGCCACCAAGTGAAAAGATTATATCTTGTTAAACTGGTCAGAGGGTGGAACAGAGCTGTGTATTTACTTATTTTAAAAGATTTTTTTTTTGTTGGTCGCTAATCACATTTTCCCTAAAGACAATCTATTATAGTACATAGATTATGGCAAGCAAAGAACAATAATACTCTTAAATTACAAGTTAAATCTCCAAAAACAAGGGATTAAACACAATATATCTTCATAGTTCTTGGTGTGTACAAAGTTACAAAAAGTACTGTTCCATCACTCCTTTGTCTTTCATTGTTCTGTCAGAATAAAAACGCCTTTTTATCTGAGTAATACAATTAAGATTAATCCAGTAGAGACAACAGACAGAATGGAAAAACACGCCTTCATCCCACCCTGCCTTTTAGCGCTAAATCCTCCCTCCTGTCCACTCCACCTTTCAAATCCAATGTTCCCCTCCCACTGCAAGCATAACTGCCACAAGGCAGGACCACAGGAAGCATTGATAGGGTTTAAAAAATGCCTCCAAGTGATAGATGTCACCTTTATGTCACTGTCTCTGAGGCACTGCACCAAACACTCTGCCACAATGACAGGCTGCAACGTGCTGAGGATGCAACAGGGAGGGCTAGAAGAGACTGCAGTAGAACCCAACTCAATTGTATACAAGACGTGGACAGCAGGTCAGTGATTACATTTGTTTGTGTTTATAGTCTCATGGGGTGTTAAACCATCAAAATACCTCCCACAGTTCTCCCAGCGTAGCACACGTCGCACATAGCTAAGCCTATAAACAACAACGTGTTATACGTTTGAAGAGAAGTTCGTGTTGTTGGATGAGGAGTTGAAGGAAAACATTTTTTTCTTGTTAACCACAGTGATAAAAAGAAGATGTGGATGTCAGTTGTACAATCATGTGCTCAATAGGACCAGATGAGCTGCTCCTCAGAACTGTCCTTTTTGTTGATTTAACGATCGGCTTCTAGGAGCAGACTCTTTTCAGCAAAATGCAGAAGCATGCACTGCTCTATATAAACACACAGGCCCACAAAGTTCTGACCAATCACACTCTGCAAACTGCGTTGGTCTGCAAGACAGAGTTCTGACTGGGGGGAAACATGCAAGACRGGGTGTCAGCAGGAGATAATGGATGGATGTTAGGCAATTTCGTCACGCGACTTAAAACAAGACGTAGGAAGGACAGATGACCACTCATCCTGGTTCTGGTTCAGCTGAATGCTCCTCTCTGTTAAAAGATAAATATTTCTTTATCACTTCCTGCTTAAAATGCACTGAAGTTAAGTTTTGATACAAACTGGGTGTAATTTTAAGGGGTTAGAGGGGTTCTGACCCCCACAATAATTTGATCCTGTCAAAATAACCTCCTCAATAAAATTACATAATTTGTTCTAACACAATATACTGTACATTAACTGGTTAAGTACACTGCTGCACATAAATGTGCATAAATACATGCTCTTTGAAAACTGAGAAATTTAGGTATGTTGTAATACATCCTAAAATATATATATATTTTTACTGTTATGGAAAAAGTAAGCCCTTTCTTAATTGTTGAACTGATTTGGAACAGAAGGTGCAGAGTAAATACAAAGAAAACAGGAAAGGGAAGTAAATCACAGTAAAAGCATTACACTGTATTTTAACTCCAAAATATTCTGAATCGTTTTACAAAAGTAAATGATTCAATAAATACATAAATAGGCCAAGAGCATAACACTCCCATTGGTAGATGTAAAGTTATGTCATTGCAATCTGCTGGTTGTCTTAGATAAAAAAATTTTCCCCTGACCTTTCATTGCACACTGACTCTGACCGTATTGTGTTATTATTGAGCTGAACTGATGTTTCTTATTTAGATGAATTTGTGATTTAAGTCTTTACTGCAGCTTTGTAAGTTTCAGAAACGGACGCCATTATTGCACTATGTGGTAACAAATGAAAAWGCACAGCTAGCATGTGGGACAAATATAAAAACACATATGACTTATGAAGTGAACAAAACATGAATACACAAAGATACCACCCACAGACAAGCACTATATAAGCACAAACCTTCAACTTTGTTCCCTCAGTGCAAAATAAAAACCCTGTAGCTACTGTCACTGTCACAGGACATCATCCTGACATTTTCAATCATCTCCTTTGACAGGAGTATTTTTGGCCCAAGTAGTAGAGCTGTTTTTTGAAGGCGTCTGTAATACAAAATATAATTCAAGTCTGTCTGACAAGTGGAATAAGCTTGTCAAGAAGCTGAGACTTGAGGAAAGAAGCTTTTAGCTGAGGACTCAACTTGGCATTGTTCAAATATCAAAACTCCTACTCCAAACTGAGTTAAAGTTTGTCGTGTCAAACTTCAAACCACCACTGTCCTCGAAGGTTTTGCTCAACTTAAATGCAGGTTTTGTATATTAGGTATGCATTTACTTTGCAGTATATTCCTTAACCACARCAGAGGACAGATGATTTGACCGAAATAGTTTGCTACAGAAATTGCAGCATTTTTTTTTTTTTTGCAGCAGAGCATAATTTGTAGACGAAGTTCCCTCACACCTTTGTCTTGATACCATATACAGTACACTAACATGACTGAGTGAGTGGAAAAGCACACGCGTCAGCAGAAAGAAGCTACAATTCAGGATAACTGGTAAAACACCCGGTGACCATTGATCAGTGGTAGGCAGCACTAATCTAAAAATTAGTTCCACTAGTCCTAAAACACTAACTCAAATATTTAGGTCCCCTAATTCTGAAGCAMTAATGCACTAAAAGTTTTAGCAAAAGCTAATTCTACAGCACTAAAAAACCCAGTCAACCCATGAACAATCTTCAACAGACAACATGAGTCACATACTGCCATGTTGCTCTCTTAAGACTTAGCATTGAACTTGATCTTCTTGAAGTAAACAACTGTGTATGCTTAAAATCCTAGTTTCTTTTTAATGAAGTTATGTTTTCATCTTTTATTTCATTTTTAAAACCACAAAAAAGATGATTGAAGTGCCCATAAATGTGAAGGAATGTTTACCAATCCAAAACTGAATTGAACACTGTCAGATTCTGACTTGGCAGGTCGACCCAGGGCGCAGGCAGAGTTCGGGTGAAACAAAAAGYCTTTATYAAATCAAAAGGCTGACGAGGCAGCTCAAAAAACTCACTAAACGTGGCGAGGCAAGAACTCCAGGACATGAAGAACCGGCTGGACAGCACAATACAGCACAATGATAGCACACAGATTGAACACAGGACACAGAATGTAAAGGCAAACTAACGACAAACGAGAAACACCTGGAGGAGACACAAGAGGAAACAGGTGAGCGTGGGCGAGGCAGCTGGGCAGAGAACACACGGGGAAAACACTGAACACTTAGAAAAAACAAAATATAAAAACACAGACTATGAAAAACATGTCACTTAAAAAACCAAAACTGTAAATCATGTTATTGTGGTGAACCACTAGGGGGCGTTACTCACACCCACTAATACAGGATGTTGTGATTTAAAAATGTTTTTGCATAAGTCTATTGTTTTTGGCGCTAACCACGCAAAGTGTGTTGGAGTTGAGTAAAGCGAGGTTCTGCATCAAGTTTCTGTGTCGTCTTTTCTACTCCTCCACATTGGTGACCCCGACGTGATAATGTTATTCACAGATGACACTATGTCTGTTTTTTTCTCAATTGGTAGGGTTGGGGCATGAATATAAGCTCTCAAGCTCACTTAGCATGCTGAATTACTGTATACAGTACGTGCCAAGTGACATGCTGTGTGCTACTACGGTTGTGCAAAAATAATAATAAAAACATCTAAGCATTAAATCATTAAATAATTCCAACATAAATTTACCATAGTTTTTATTTATCAGGTAAAACATTGCATTGTTAAAACATGAGTCACCACTGAAATGTGTTTTTCAGCACTTTTGCATTTTTTTGTCAAGAGGATTGTGGGATGAGCTACAACACATAAACATATACTAATGTGAAAAGATTTGAGTCATTCCTCATTATATACTGTATATATATATATACAGTATATAGAAGCAAAACTAAAGAGGTCTTGTAGATTTTTCAGGCTTTCTGAAAGGCATTTAAAGTGTTTTTGTTCTTCCTGTACTCTTTCAGACAGATTTACGTGGTCAATTTTATTTGATGTGAGCAATAGGAGTTTGTAAATTAGTTGCATTTGACACATTTGACATTTATTGTTCTTTAATGCTTTAACCCTCCTGCTGCATCAAGGTCAAAATGACCCACGAGGCTTCAGTTTTAAAACTGAAGACTCATGAGCAGCAAGAGGCTTAAAAACATGTGCTACCTTTGGAATGTTAAACATTAAATGTGATAGCTTGTGCATTCTTGTTTTGAAGAAACATAAAMTGTGGGAAAAGTGCCTTGATGGCACCAAAACAGTGATGTTTTTGCTGTTGTCAGAAGATATTTTTTGCAAGAAATGTTGCTGTTTCATTTTTATCATTWTCATACACATCTACATTCAGTTATTTACCTGTACACTGACCAATCAGCACACATTAAAATGAGTTGGAATAATGCTCAATGTCACCCAGTTGAAGCTGCATCAACAATCTTGGCCGCWACGCTGCAAAAATTGTCTATMTGACAAAGTCTCACAATCTTATATYCAGTCAAAATTTATTTTTGATCTTGTTTTTAAGACTGGTTTACTGAGTAGGAGCAGAATATGGTAGATTATTAATCTTGTTCGCCTGTAAATGTTTCCTTAWTTCAAATAGTCTTACCAAGTACAGTTTTCTTACGCACTGGCAGATTTCACTTAATTTGAGAATATTCACATCAACTAGTAGTATTTTAGTTATTTTTAGATGGCTAAATTTTGCAGTGTACTGCTCTAGTGGTTTTTGAGTCACTTTTACCTGAGTTTGTAATTTCTGGTGTTCTCCWTGCAGACCTCCTGATTGTGACCATTGTTTTGATGCTTCTGAGACTGAAGACCTCCGATCATTTTATTGTGTACTGACCCCATGTCTAATCTGCAGTAAACCACACATAGAGCCTCATCTGCCTGCTCTCCACAGCTTTGCTCTTTTTCTTTCTCATCATTCCAGGGGCGGTTCTAGGGGCGGGGCCACAGGGGCATTGGCGCCAGCTGAAATTTGATTGGCCCCCTGAAGTGCCCCTGCCCTGTTACTCATCTGTCCTTTACCTGGGAGTGATGATGGTTGGTGCAGTTCCATGTTCAAACACTAGTTGCGCTAATGAGTCAAATAATAAAGTCCAGAATGAATCAAGCTTACAGAATTCTTCTTCTCTTCTTAAGAAAATTTGAACAATCCTGCAAAAATAAGTCTTTCAACTGACAAATGATGGCTGGATTTTCTCAGGTGTGTTTGAATTTTTTTTATTTATGTACAGTAAAATGTATGAAAAACTGGTGAGGAGAATTTACTGTGCAAGATTTTTGGTATCACTTTACATTCAAGCTCCCCTTGGCTTATAAAGAGTTTATAGATAGGTTATTAATTCATTTGTAAAGTTYACACTTCATAAATCATTAATAAATGAAACTGGACAATTTTGTCTCTTTTTCGTCCTTAATTATTGCATAATAAACACTTAACAATTTTTAAAGTGTTTACAGGTTAATTAATAACCTATCTATAAACTCTTTAAAAGCCATCTATAAGGGGGACCTTATTGTAAAGTGGTACCTTTTTTAAAAAAATTACATTACATTACAAGTGTTTGAAATGTAAAACATAAACACTGGGAATTTGTGTGAAAGGTTGTTGAACAAAGACTTGGCCCCTCTATGAATATTGTGGCCCCTTGATGGCCCCTTACTCAGAAAAATCCTAGATCCTCTACTGCATCACTCTCCTCTCATCTTCTTGTGGACCTGTAGTGGTCAACTCCAACCCACCCACTTTCCACCAAAGCCTAAAACCTAATCCTAGAATGATGAGGTAGTGTAACATATCTGTCAGGAAGTGTTTCACCATGTCTGAAGGTTTTAAATGTGTGTGCATGAAGTAAGAGACTGGAGTCAAACACAGTGGACACAATATCTCCCTTCTCGCAAGTGTCATCATCTCCTGCTGCTTGGGAGTTCGTGAAGACAGGAACGCTGTCTCTGCAGGGAGTAAATAAAAACAGAAAGGCAAGAAGTTGGGGGGAGTTGGAAGGTTGATGGTCAAATAGTTGGGGGATGTGACAACATGATCATGCTGAAAGCAGCCATCCAGCTACCACTGGCAGTCCAGGTTTTATTACCCAGCTTCCACCAGTCGTTTTGTCTTAAACACTCCTTTTTCCTCAGCTGAGGCAGGAAGGTTTTGCTCCATGCTGAAGGGCACTGCTAAAAACCCAAAATGAGGTGTGACATATCTGTGGCATGTTTACTCAGATTAGAATTGCATTGTCAGACGTTTTGGAGCAGAACAGTGCAAGGAATTCACACCTCTAAATATAAAGAGGGGCATGCRGCCTCCACCAGGACTCACAGATGAACGCAATTTGTTTCATCCACTTTCAGCTCCATCACAAGTAGCTATGAAACACCCCACAGTGCGCGTGTTCTATGCTGCCTGTTTTATTTTTAATGAGTGCTGACGAAGCTGGGTGCAGCAGGGATCAAATGCTGTTGGTCCTTCTTGGGTTGATGTTTGTTATTAATCTCATTTTCACTGATCTGGATAAACCACTTGTCCACATTCCTCCAGTTAATTAATGGGTTGGTATAATTTTTTTATGTTTACTAAATCTTTAACAATGCTAAACGGGTTGACAACAAAGCTCGTCCGAACAAATACCCTTTGTTTGGATAGAAACAAAAAGCGATGGAGTCGCAGTTTGACTGAGTGTCAGTCTGCACACCCTGAGACCCTTCTGGCCCTTCATAAATTCACTTGTGTCCATCATCAGTGAAATGCAGCTGGCACACTAGCATCGCACCTCCTGCTCGCTCACACGAGGAGTCGGGTTTGCTCGGAGTGTGAAAATAAGATCTGTCAGCTTCAATAATAGCCTTTTAGCAGCGCGATCACTCAGACTTTCCAGCTATGTGTGGCTCCTTTCAGCTAAACTGTTTCATTAGCGATGGGGGACCTCATATTTTCAGCACAGTTTAACACCATTTACAGCACAATGCAAAACATTTCAGCCATCTCCCTTTTTCAGTCATTTTCCTCCAAGGACCAAAGCTTTCTTGTAATCTTTTAAAATGATTTGGCTTCCCGAATGCCTTTCAAATATTTCTTTTTCATTTTTTGGATCCTTTTTTTTTTTTCATTTCAGTTTTTGTGCCTGATCATTTTCAGTAGAATGTTTTGCTAAAATACTAAGCACTTTTGAATGAATCAGAGGAGCATAAAAACAGCAGCCAGCTGAAGTGATGAACTGTTTTGTCAAAACACAACAGGCAGCTTGGCCAGAACCAGTTTTAACATTTATTCTGAGGCACCTTGTTTGTGTTTGTGGTAAACATTATGTTTTTTTTAAATTTAAACTATTTATGTAACAAATTGTAAATATGGCAGATTGCCTGGCTTAAATAAGTATTTTTGAACCAATGTGCTACAAAAAGAATGAAAGAGGTGTAAAGTATTGGGCAGCAAGCTGCCTCAGTTGGTAGAGCTGTTGCCTCTTAGCAAAAAGGTTGCCAGACTGAAACCCRGCCCGGGGACCTTTCTGGTAGAGTTWGCATGTTCCTGCATGTGTGGGTTTTCAGTTCCCTCCCACAGAATAAAAACAAGAATGTTAGGCTAGTTGGTAACTCTGAATTGTTCCTATGTGAGAGTGGGAGGTTTGTTGTCTCTGTGTGTCCCTGTGATGGACTTGTGACYTGTCCAGGGTGTCCCTGACCCAAACACAGTGGCTGCTGGATATGGGCACCAGTGACTCCCAGTAACCCTGAAAGGAAGAAGTGGGCAAAGATAATGGATGGATGTAAAGTAGTTTAAAACAGTCCATCTAATGGTCTTGTGCAAGAACTGAACAGCTAATTAAGCATACAGCTGTGTAGATTATTAAAAGCTATCTAAAATGATATTTGGAAACAATAACAAATGGGGAAAGCCTCAAAACTGGCAGAACTGTAGTTTTAAACTTTAAACCTGTCCACAGTAACACAGATATGTAACAACACAAAAGATTTTATTTTGTTTTTGAATCAAACATACAAGTTGCATTTTCATTCATTATTTTTTTTTCTTTCTCCCAACCACTTTTCAAACTGGAAAAAATGTTAATATGTTTGTCAACTATGTTTAAATATGGTAGTGTTGGGTGTTGATTGCCACCTGTTTTACTGAGCATGTACCAGAACTAGACTAATGTTGGAGCCAATCTGATTCTTGCTTGCTGCTACAGCCTGCTGACCAAAAAAAGAAGTTGTCACAATTAAGCCAATTTTACAGATATTAAGCTAGCTGAAAGTTATTACCAACATCTGATTTGTGTGACATATTTGCTTAAAACTTAGGCATTAACTGTAGAAATTAACCCTTTTAGTCTGTTAGCAAAGCCTTGGCTTGCTTTGCAATTTTTTTCAATTCATGATATTCCAAATGTTTGTTTGTTTGTTTGTTTGTTTRTTTTGTTTTATTCAATTTTCATATAGTTGCATTTATGGGGTGGTACAGGCTGCATTCATCAGTAGATTTATCATACCGTCTTGTTAGTAGTGATCAGAATTGCAGGCAGGTCTAAATAATTCAGCACCCTTTTATTTAATGCAAGGATAGCATGGARTCAACACAATTCATTACGACTTCCAAAGCTAACCAACATTAGAACAAAAATGGCAATAACTTCATCAATTTCACAGAAACTGAACTACAGTTTGATGTGGTAGAAGCTGAGAGTCWTTCACAACACATCCTCTGAGTGTAACATTTTGTGATCTTGCACGACATTGAGCAAAACATTTTCTAAATAATTTCTCAACATCAGATGATTTTATTCTTAATCTCTGGCATGAAAAGCAGAAGGCATCATGGATTTCTTTAAGAAGCTTTATCCCTTTATTTTTTCTTTTTTTTGTCTAAACTTGATATGATTCCCAATCTATATGTAAGCTCCTATTATTTTTGAACCATCTTTGTAAAATGAGATTGTGTGGTTGTGTTCATGTGGCTGATTGGACACTAAGTCCCAACAATGTCAAGAGCATAATGTGTCACATAATATGACGCATGATCTCAGGCAACTGTTGTGTCACTGTTGATTTTCATCACTGAGTGTTGAGGCATTCTGGGAAATCCTCCAGGAATACAAGACATTGTTTCTGCTCTTTGTGTCAGCTGAGATATTTTCAGAAAGGTCCATCACAAGTCCATCACGCCACCTTTTTTTTCCAGATAGTTTCTGAATCATTTAGAGTGGTGAAGTTCTCTTAAACGCTTTGAAAGGTAGCGATTTAAAAGACTTGCACAACCTAAATTATCTCTCTCTGTGTGTGTGTGTGTGTGTGTGTGTGTGTGTG